AGACTTGTTGTTACAAAGTTGTTCAAAATATTCCCTTATTCTCATTGGAATACCTGTAAAACTGTAGTGATATCATCTCTCTCAGGACATGTCCTCCCCACCCTCCACCATGATCTCTCTGGCTGGAGGCTTATCAATCTTATTGATCTTCTTAAAGAACTACCTTTTAGTTTAATTGATTTCCTCTATTTTTTTTTGCTTCATTGATTTCTGCTTGAATCTTGTCTTCTGATTACATTTAATTTTCTCATGTTTTTTACTGTCTTAAACCAGAAGCTAAAATCTTTGATGAGAAACATTTCTTCTTTTCTACTGTAAGTGGTTAGTGACATAAAATTAGGGAAGAAAATTTCAGGACAAATATCAGGGATATAAATTATGTAAATACATACATCTTAATTTTTTTTACAGTTATGTATTTGGGGGGTGTGCATGCCACAGCCTGCATGTGCAGGTCAGAGAACAACTCGAGGAAGTGCACTCTCTCCTTCCTCCACGTGGATCCCGGGGATGGAACTCAGGTTATCAGACTTGGTAGCAAGTACTTTTACTTGCTGACTCATCTCAACAGCCCATGTGTGTTTTTACTCAACTAAAAATACTCTCCAATTTCCCTACCATGTATTTAGAAGTGTGTTGTTTAGTTTCCAAATATTTGGGAATTTTTCAGATGTCTATTTTTCCCTATCATCTTAAAATTTAATTTCATGCTGGGTGTGGTGGTGCACGCCTTTAATCCCAGCACTCAGAGGCAGAGGCAGGTGGATCTCTGTGAGTTCAAGGCCAGCCTGGTCTACATAGTGAGTTCCAGGCCAGCTGGGGCTACAGGGAGACCCTATCTGAAAAAGACCCCAAAATTTTTTAATTTCATGTGGTCAGAGAATATAGGATGTATGACTAAGTCCCTTTATATTTATGGAGTTAGAGTAGTTACTTTTTGGTTGCTGTGATAAAATACTATGACCAAAAACAACCTAAGGAAGGGTTTATCTTGTTTTACAGTTCCAGAGGGCTACATGTCCATAATGGTGGGGGAGGCAGGGCTGCAGGAGCCGGAAGATGAGAGAGCACATCTCAACCACACACAGGAAGGGGGGGAGGAGAGAGAGAGAGAGAGAGAGAGAGAGAGAGAATGAGAACAGGAAATGGGCAAGGCTAGGGACCCTCAAAACCCACCCCCAGCTAACACAGCGGCACCAACTGGGAGCCATGTATCCAGTCACATGAACCTGCAGGGGACAGTTCTCACCAAATCCACATCAGAAGTCTTGTTCTACTCACATGTTATGGTCTTGCTAAATATTCCCTGTGCACTTGAAAAGATCGTATCCTCCCGTCATTTGGTAAAGTGGTCTATTAGCAGTAATTAGATCAAGTCGGTTGGCTGTGTTGTTCAAGTGTTTTATGTTCTTACTGATTTTATGTAATTGTTCCACCAATGATTACAAGAATGCTATCAGAGTGTTCAACCATAATTGTGGATTTATCTATTTTCGGCTTTTGTTTCACGAATTCTAATCTATTAGGTTCACAGACAGTTAGGATTGTTGTATTCTGCTGATGAATTGACCCATGTATCATTTTGAAATCACCTTTTTAAACACCTGGTAATATTCGTCCTGAAATTTCCATCCCTTGACTTTTAATCCATTTGTCTATTTAAAATGGGTTTCTTGGAAGCATCTTAGTCTTCATTTTTTCATTTATTATTTTTATTTTTTATGTGTATGAGTGTATTGCCTGTGTATATGTAAGTGCACTTATGTCATGCAATGCTCGTGGACGTCAGAAGGGGACATCAGATCCCCTGGAACTAGAGTTACAGATGGTTGTTAACTGCCATGTGGTGCTGGGAATTGAAACCAGGTCCTCTGCAAGAGCAGCCAGTGCTCTTTACTGCTGAGCCATCTCTCCAGCCCCGAGACTCTTGTGTTTTAATTGATGTGTTTAAGCCACTTAAATTGATGGAGTTGTTAATGTGGCTAGATAACAAATCTCGTATTTAATTTGTCCATTTGTTTAATGTTCTTCCTTTCCCCTCCTGATTTCTTTTGGATGAATTATTATGTTTCTATTTTAATCTCTTTTTTGCTCTTCATTTTTTTATTATATATGTGTTTGTGTATATGTGTGTGCATGTATGTATGCACATGAGTATGGGTACTCACAGAATCCAGAAGAGGAAACTAGATTCCCTGGAGCTGGAGTTATAGGCAGCTGTGAGCTGCCTAACATGGGTGCTGAGAACTAAACTCGGGTCCTCTGCAGGAGCAGAACAGCCTCTTAACCACGGAGCCATCTTGCCAGCTGTTTTTGGTTTTGGTTTTGTTCTTTTTTTTTGCTCTTTACCCATAATTCTTAGTGGTTGTCTTGGGATCTACAGCTTAACTCTTTAAATTATCAGTATGTCTTTGAGTGATGTGGTACTATGTAATACATAACTCCACATAGTGACAGCCTCCACCCTCCACATGCCTCCGCTGCTGTGGTCCACGTTCTGTTATGAACCCCACACTGCCTTATTGTTCCTAAGTGGTCAGTTTTCTTTTATAGAGATAAGAACATTTCATATCTTGCTCATGACAGTTCCGTTCCCAGTGCTCTCTATTCTTTGGTGTAGATCCGTGTTCCCACGTGTCTTTCTCCTGTCGGAGGAACTCCCTTTCACATCTTCTGTAGTGTGGGCATGCTAGAGATTATTTCAGGCCTTGTATATCTTGAGAAATCTTTGTTAATTCTGGGTTGACTTTCTCCCCTAGTATCCGAGTATTAGTATTCTCCTCTCCTGCGTTGTTTCTAATGAGAAATCTGCTTAAATCCTCTTTATTCCTCAGAATGTAATGTTCTTTAAATATAGTTTTAAAAGATTTATTTTTAATTATGTCTGTGTTTGTAGGTGTTGTGCAGATGAGCGCAGTGTGTTCAAAGGCCAGAAAAGGGTGTCAGACCCCCTGGAACTGGAGCTACAGGTGGTTGTCGAGTTGCCCCACATGAGTGCTGGGAACTGAACTCGGCTCTTCTGCAAGATAGCCAGTGCTCCTAACCCCTGAGCCGTGTCTCCAGCCCAGTGATGTCTTTTTTATCTCATTTGGCGTTCAAGATTTTCTCTTGGTCAGAATTTCCAAGCAATTTGATTACGACGTACGTTGTTGTCTGTTTTGTTGTTTAGTCTTTGGAGCTCAAGCTTGTTGGATCAATGGATTCACAGTTTTCATCAACTTGAAAATTTTTCAACCTCTCTGGAGAATCCAATAACTGATGTACTCTGCGCTGAGTATGGTACGGCTGTCGAGGCAGTCAGCCAAGGCAGCCGCGGGGTCCTTTGATGCCTCATCTCTCGAGGACTGACAGCCCTTGTGGTCTGGTGTAGAGTCCCGTTTCATGTGTTTTCTTGTATTTTGGGGGTTCTAGTGGGAAGGTCAGTCTAAAGGCTATGCTGTTGTTCCATCTCAACCAAAAGTGCCACTCTTGTTTGTATTTTAAAAACATAGTTTTGGTCCTGGAGAGATGGCTCAGTGGTTAAGAGCGCTGGCTGCTCTTCCAGAGGACCCAAGGTCAGTTCCCCACACCCACATCAAGTGGCTCACTACCAACTGCAGCTCCAGATCCAGGGACTCTGATGCCCTTTTTCAGCTTGTACAAGTATCCACACATACATAGCATGCACACAGTCACACGTACGTACACAAAAATAAAATAAACATAAATCTTTAAAAAAAAAACAAAACAAAACATGGGCCTCCAGAGGACCCAAGGTCAGTTCCCCACACCCACATCAAGTGGCTCACTACCAACTGCAGCTCCAGATCCAGGGACTCTGATGCCCTTTTTCAGCTTGTACAGGTATCCACACATACATGGCATGCACACAGTCACACATACGTACACAAAAATAAAATAAACATAAATCTTTAAAAAAAAACAAAACAAAACCCACATAATTTGGTATGGTGGTGCACCTTTAATCCCAGTTCTTGGGAGGCGGAGGTAGATAGGCCTCTGTGAGCTCAAGGCCAGCCTGGTCTACATAATGAATTCTAGACCAGCCAGAACTACATAGTGAAACTCTGTCTGCAAAAAATAAAAACAAATAAAACAGTTTGGGACTGGGGAGATGGCTTAGTGGTTAAAGAGCTAGTCATGCAAGTGTGGGAGCTGGAGTTCAGATGCCCAGAAGCCACATGCATGCCAAGTGTGTGTGGCAGCCCACCTGTAATTCCAGGGCTCAGAAGATGTAGTTGGATACCTAAAGCGAGCTAGTTAACCAGGCTAGCTATCAGAGAACTTTGGGTTTTGTTAAGAGACCGCCTCAGTGAATACGGTGAAAGAGTGATCAGGGAAGACTACATGAGCTTCGGGCCTTGACCTGTGTGAGTGCACGCACACACTGCCCCCAACACACACACAGGTGTACCTGCACACAGACCCACATGTGCCCACAAACATGTGACTAGGCATACATACCCCGCCACCACCACACACATATCACATACACACTCCAAAGGTCTTGAGAGGGGCTTTTTAGAGCCCCTTGGAAGCCAGGCTTGGTGTCTCTGGAAAAGTCCTCTAGAGAGAGAGAAAAAACACATAGTTTGATCAGCCTGGCTGGTTTTCTTGAGAAAAATAACTTGTACTGAGCACACACTGAGTTATCTAGAAGTTAGTTTGACTTCAGATTTTGCTGTAGACAGTTAAGAATCAGAAGATGGCAGAGGAGCTGGCTGCTGCTGGTTATTATTATCTATATTATCTATATAGAACGTCCGTACTTCTCAATGGAATCACCTGGGGGATTTTTTTTTTAAACTCTTCATCAACTCCACCCAAGAAATTCTGATTTAATTGGTCTGGCATCTGGCCAAGACACCAGAACTTTCGAAAGCCCTGGTGACTTTAATGAGCAGCCTAGGTAAAGAGCCGCTGACATGACAGCTCAGGTCCTTGTGTCCACAGCCATCTTCAATCCCTGTCCCCTCTGTCCTCTCTCTACTCCCTCACAGCAAAGTTCAGGTCCTATATGGGGGGACCGACCTCTTTGACTATGAGGTACGCAGGACCTTCAACAACGACATGCTCCTGGCCTTCATCAGTAGCAGCTGCATCGCCGCCCTGGTCTACATACTCACCTCCTGCTCAGGTACGGTGTCTCACAAGGCCCATGTGAGCCAGCCCTTTTCTCCAGCATGTGTTCCTGCCTACTCAAGAAAATGGGAAGGCCAGGCATGGTGGCCTTTAATCCTAGCACTCGGGAGGCAGAGGCAGGAGGATATCTGTGAGATTGAGGCCAGCCTGGTCTACATAGTGAGTTCCAGGTCAGCTGGGGCTACAGGGAGACCCTGTCTCCAAAAAAGAATGCCAGGATAGCCTGGAATTCAGCATCAGGGCTGCACTTGCACAGTGCTCAGAGGCCATCCTGGAACCCCAGGCAGGCAGGCAGAGGTCCAGAGGCAGATGGGCTATCCTTGAGAGCCTGACTCACAATTCACAGTTTGACCTCTCTTGCCCTTTGATCATCTTTCTCCCATGATAGCCTCATGTTGGGGAATCTAGGATATTTTTAGACTCTGTTATGGATTATTCAAGAGCCTGCCTTCTTTCCCATGTCAGCTGCCCTTCTGTCCCCAACGTCCCTCCCCTCCTCCACCTCCTCACCAGCACTAGCTGTCTCTTATTGCTGCCTGTGTACAGTAGCCAAGTGCTGTTGCCCAAGTGAGCAGACAGTAATGCCTTGAAAGCTGGACCAGGCATGCAGTCATCCACACACAAATATTAATTGGGTACCAGCTGTGTACCTGCTGCTCTGAAATGCCAGGTCCCAGTTGTGAGCCTGGCACGGTTCCTACACTGTGGAACTTCTGGTCCCCGAGGGTGACACACAATACAAAATGATCATGGTTCTCTACTAGTATGTGAGGTTGGTAGGATCTGGAAGAGGGCCCGTGGGCAACCTGACCTCAGATGTTTTCATCTGCCACCCAGGCCTCCTGCCCAGCCTCTTCTTTGGGCATGGAGGGCTGAGAAATGAACCTGTACCTGGCTGGAAACAGACAGACAGGTGGAGGGTCCCGGGCTGGGGGCCAAGGTCAGAGTCACTGAAGGGGTCCGCCCTTCTCTCCTCGCCCACCCAGTGTTCCTGTCCTTCTTCGGGATTGCCAGTATTGGTCTCAGCTGCCTGGTGGCACTCTTCCTCTACCACGTGGTCTTTGGCATCCAGTACTTGGGCATCCTCAACGGCGTGGCCGCCTTTGTGATTGTAGGCATTGGTGAGCTACCTCCCTGCCCATAACAGGAGCCTCCTACTTGGGAGTTCTGTCCCTTCCCCCATAAGGGTCTTCTCCCCAGACACTAAGCCCAGCTTCCAAGGGACTCTCTAAAGCCCTTTCTATGCCTTGGAGAATGGGAGTTAGGGTATGAGTCATGGTCAGAAAGAGCAAGAAAGTGTGCTAAGATGGGGACACTGGAAGCTAGGTGTTGGAGGATGAGCCAGGGAGCATGGTGGATGTGGCTTGGAGACAGCAGGTGGGACCAGGTAGTCTGGTGAGTGGCGTTTGGAGACAGTAGGTAGAGGTAAGGAGTCTGGTTGGGCGAGGGGAGTGGAGTAGCATGGTGGGTGAGACTTGGAGACTCTGGATGAGGCCAACCAGTTTGGTGGGTGGGACTTGGAGGTTCAGTGGGTGGGGACAAGGAGTCTTGTGGGTGAGGCTTGACCTCAAAGTAGAGTCAATCAGATAAGCTTTCGTAGAGCCCAAGCTGAGAAGTTGGACTCTCCCAGACACCTGCCCTCAGTCACCCAGAAGAGGGAGCCAGAGCTGAGCTAACCTGTGGCAGGGCCTCCCTTCTGTAGGTGTGGACGACGTCTTTGTGTTCATCAACACCTACCGCCAGGCCACCCACCTGGAAGACCCACAGCTGCGGATGATCCATACCATCCAGACCGCAGGCAAGGCCACCTTCTTCACCTCACTGACCACAGCTGCCGCCTATGCAGCCAACATCTTCTCCCAGGTGGGAGCCTGCCCCTCCGTCCCCATCTTGGCTTCCCACCCATTCACACATGGCTGACTCCCCCTCCCTGCTCTTCCCGGCCACCCCACCCGCGACCACAGACCTTCACCTCAGGGTCCTTGCTGTGACTCATCACCCACTCCAAACCCAACATGTACATCATAAAGATTACATCAGTACAAAGCATTTCTTACTGGTGCTTGTGAATAGTCACCCTACTTCTGCCCCAGGAGCTGACAGTTCCCAAAGCTCTCTCACAGCTGATCTTTATAAACCTAAACAAAGGTATAGTCACCACCTCTGTTTTCCTAGTACAGAAACTGGGGTCCAGACAGGTAAAATTACTTTTTCAGGGTCACACAGCTGATAAATGGTGAGCCCGACACAAGTCTCCTCACCCCTGGCCCCAGTTCTGCCCCTGCCACTTCATACCCTCACACAGACTCCCTGTCTCTGCCCATGCTCCTGAGTGGGGCTTTATGCTCCTAGGAGCTGGGTACAGAAAGAATCTGAAAGACATGTCTTTGAGAGACTTTTGACTATGACCAAGTAGCACATAAACCTCTCTGGGCCTCAGTTCTCTCATTGTGGGTAATTTCAGAGCTGATCTGAGCAGATGTTGTTGAAGAGGTTTCACAAACCACAAGCTGGCCTGTTGGTTGGTGAAGGTTTCTTCTGACCACCATAGGCAGGTCCCTGTGCAATCTCTGTCCCTGGATTCCTTGCTTCCATAGTGGGGTAGCACTAGCCTGCAGCCTGGTCCTAGGGACCTTCCTCCTCACTAGCCTGCAGCCTGGTCCTAGGGACCTTCCTCCTCACTAGCCTGCAGCCTGGTCCTAGGGACCTTCCTCCTCACTAGCCTGCAGCCTGGTCCTAGGGACCTTCCTCCTCACTAGCCTGCAGCCTGGTCCTAGGGAATGTGCCTTCACTTTGGTAAGTGAGGCTTACCCAAGGCTTGAGGCTAGCAAGCAATTGACCCTGGGCCAGGTGCTGTTCCCAGCTGGCTCCAGGCAGACCAAAGCCTCTGCCCTAGGGTGGAGCAAACGCTTCCTCCTCTGCTGTGTCCAGCACTGGCCCTGGTTTCTGGCATCCTTGGGCCCAGTGTCCTGCAGCCAAGCTGCCTCCTGCCCCAGTCTGGAGCCACCCAGATTCCTGGGTGCCTCTGGCCACAGGGGCACCCAAGCCTGACCAGTACCTCCTCTTCTGATTTCTTGGTTGCAGATCCCAGCTGTACATGACTTTGGCCTGTTCATGTCTCTCATCGTGACCTGCTGCTGGCTGGCGGTGCTGTTCACCATGCCTGCAGCCCTGGGCCTCTGGAGCCTCTACATGGCACCACTGGAAAGCTCCTGCCAGAGCAGGTGAGCAGCCTGTGCCCTCCACAGGCTGAGTAGCCACCTCACCCAGCCCTCTCCCCTGTAGCCCTCTGGGGTTCCCCCATGTTGGTCCTGGGCCAGGCAGCAGATAGGGAAGGAGCAGTTCCTGTCCAGCCGCCTGTGGACAGAAGGTGGGCACACTACACATCTGTGACACTACCGTTCCCTGGGACCTCTGTCTTCTTCTTGTGCCTAATGAAGAAACAAGGGTTTGGGGGCATCAGGCAGCATTCTCAAAGTCACTCATTTAGTAGGAAACAGAGCTGGGATTTTTAATCCAACAACTCCAGGCCCCTGGTCCCCATGGTAATATCCTAGCTTCTTACCTTGGTGGAAACAGTCTTAGAGAAGAATGAGCCCAGATTTGCTACTGGAGGTCAAGGCTTGGGTCTCGTGGGCTTAGTGGTTGGGATGTAGTCGGGGGAGTAGTCAAGTGGAGTCAGGCCTGGGGGTTGCCTGGAACAGGAGTACTGAGCAGGCAGCTCTGGGTCTCTGGGCTTGGGGTAGGTATGCATTGGTAGGGCTTGGGAGCCCAGAGTGATGGTCAGCTAATTGTGGTGGGCTGGAGGGGCTGCAAGAGGAGGGAGCCTGGCAAAGAGCTCAGCCTGGATTTGGGCGGATCCCTCGGCTCTCCCACGCTCACCCTCTCTCTTCAGGGCTGCTGTATGTGATGGTACGTGTTGAGCACTGCACGAGGTGGCCCTGGCTGAGGCCCTGCTCACGGCACTGGGGACATTCAGATTCACTATCTGTCTGACAGTTTCATGGTGCAGAGGCAATGCCTTGGAGAAAGGAGGCCTTTAATAGTCTCTGAAAGATCCCAGCCTGGGCTTGCCTTCCCAGTCCTCACCTGGATGCAGTAGTCTTTCCAGAAGGTCAGCCCTCCCATGCCAGGGCTGCTCTGGAACCTTAGGCAGGTCACTCAGCCTCTCTGCCTCTCAGTTTCTCCATCCATAAAGTGAGGGGAGGCGCCACTGGGAGGACTAAGAGCACCTTTGCAGGGCGGGTAGATGGCTGCATTAAAGCACAGGCTGTGGCCACTAGGATAAGCCTAATCTCCATTCACTCCAGCTGAAACTTTAGCCTCACGGCCACTCCCTCAGTGCTGCCCTGCCTGCTGGCTTGTGTCAGATCCCCTGGGTCACACAGCAGAAGAGAAATGGTTCCCTGCTCTGGCTACCGCAATGTGTGGGCCTCTGGGTGTCCCACCATCCCCTCTCCGTGGGTGATGCCTGCCGTCACCCTTTGTCCCCCACCTCCACACCCTACGAGTCTTCTGGTACCTGAGAGTAGATGGCTCTAGAAGGAACTCCAAGCATGGTTCCTGAAGTCAGTGGTGCCTGTCCTTAGTGAGACAGGCAGTGTTATGTTACCTGGACTCATGAGATTGCCCTGGCCTTGCTCCATCTTCCCTGGGTACTGTGACCCTCAGCCTCACACCTGTCTCCTGCCCTCTATAGTTGCCATCAGAAGTGTGGTCGCAAGAGCTCCTTGCACTTCCCTGGGGACCTATTTGCAGCTCCAGAGCGGGCTGGGGGTGGCCCTGCCCAGGGCCCCCTGCCCTACCTGGACGATGACATCCCCTTGCTGAACGTTGAAGACGAACCAGGTGAGAGCTGACAGGCCTGGCTAGGGCTGGCTCCAGGGGCGGCTTAAGGACAGGCTGGTTCCAAAGGGGTGTGTGTGGGTCAGGTGGCTTGTGGGGACCTTAACCCAGGATTTGGGCTTCCCAGCTAGGGTGTGGGCCAGGATATGCTGTGGCCCAGGCTTTAACCGGCCACTTCTCTGCCTGGCAGTGTCACTGGAGCTGGGAGATGTGTCACTGGTGTCTGTGCCCCCTGAGGGTCTGCAGCCTGCCCCTGATGGGGGCAGCCGGGGGCAGCTTCTTGCCCAACTACAAGAGCTACTACACCACTGGGTCCTGTGGGCTGCTGTCAAGAGCCGCTGGGTAATCGTGGGTGAGTACACAGCATTCCTGTCCTACAACCGCCTCACAGCTCTACCCTCCTAGGTGTCAAGGCAGACTCTCCCAGAGCACAGGCTATAGGAACTGGCAGCCCACTCCCCCAGGAGAAGTGGACTCAGACCTGGGCAGGACCTCCTCTCTACCTCTTCCTCTTCCTGTGTAGGCCACACCTCGGCCTCCTCAGTCACTGTTTATGAGTTGCTGCATGCCAGGCTCACACTGGGCAGGAGAGCAAAGTGCTCATGCTTGGGCTGGGGAGTAGGCCAGCCTGGCTGAGTTTGAACCTAGTTCTGCCATATGCTATCTCTGGCCTTGGCTGTGCCAGCCCAGCCTGATGCTCGAGTTTCTGCTCTAAAATGAGGGGGGTAACAGTGCTTAACAGTGTCCAGTGTAGTCTGGGTATAGCTCAGTGGTAGATTGCCACTTAGCACTGGGTTTTATCTCCTGAGCACCAAGAAGAAAAGAAAGTGTTTAGTAAGAAAGGCAGCTGTGTGATGCGTTTATGAAAGTCTTAGCCCAGTGCGGGCATGCAGTGCTCAGTACACATGAGGCTCCATCACCATCTTCAATGGCTTATCAGAGCTGTTGCTAACAAACAGAGGTGCTAGCTCTGGGAGAACTGTCACGTGCTCTGAGACACTGGCTGACCCTCATGGAGGAGTGGCAACTTGTAGCTTACGGTCAGACCCCAGAGACTCCACATATGATAGGCCTAGTCCTGCCCCCCTCACTAAGAGTAGCACTGCCAGGGCGGGGTACCCACCTGGAACTGGCATCCTAACAAGGCATCTTCTTCACAGGACTCTTTGCCTCCATCCTCATCCTGTCCCTGGTGTTTGCCAGCCGGCTCCGCCCTGCCAGCCGGGCCCCCCTGCTCTTCCGCCCCGACACCAACATCCAGGTACTGTTGGACCTCAAATACAACCTAAGCGCTGAGGGCATCTCCTGCATTACCTGCTCAGGTGAGATCCTTGCTGACTTGGCCTGCCCTCTGTGGTTTCTGAACCTCCCAGTGTTTACCTGAGAGGTGTAAGATCTCAGAAAGATCCAGTGAGCAAGAGAGAAAGGCTCCTGAGCTCAGTCCATGTTCAGACCCAGGGACCGCTGTTACAATAGTAGAAACGAGCCGTTGTGGGGGAGGATAGGGTGTGCTGGGGCATGAATGGCCTAGGAGGATGCCGTAGATACTTGAAGATTGAGATTCATCAGGGGAGGAAAGGAGTAGGCCAGATTCAGAGGAGAAGAAAGTCAGGACAGGACGGGATGGAGGTGGGGACGGTGGAAGGTGATGGTCACAGACTGGGATGGTGGTGGTGATGGTGGGAGGTGAGGGAATGGCCAGTGATGAAGAAGAACAGGGCCAAGTCTGAGAAGATGACCAGGAACTGAGGCCAGCCAGGTGTGCTGACAGGAGTAGGCTCTAAGGGGAGCCGATTGGGCGTGGGCAGGAAGCCTGCACCAACTCTGGAGACATGTAGGAGCTGAGGGGTCACAAGGTTAAGGAGTGAATTGATTTCCATAGGAGGGGAGGGGTGGCTTTCAGGCTGTCTGGTCTAGACTCTCACCTGACAGCAGGGAGCCGGGGATCAGGGCAGGGGTGGGCAGGTGTCACACCACTCTGCCAGAGTAGGTAGGCGCTAAATGAGAGAATGCTTAAGTGAGCCAAGCTGCTCGCAGGAGAGGAGCCCTGGCCGCCACTGCTGCTGTAATTACCTTCACTTAATCGGCAGTGTTCCCATTAACCCAGCCTTCCCCTTGGTCGTGGCATGAGCCGAATGCATGATAGCCAACTGGTGCTCTGACAGGTACCCAGAGCCTTGTACCTCATAGCCAGCTCCAGCCTGGTTCCCAGGCACCCTCCACGGCACAGAACTGCACTCCATCTTCACCCCCCCCCAGGGGGACCCTCCTGCCTGGTCCCTGTCACCTCCATTTCCCATCTGGACAAACCCCAGAGCAGTCACCTGGAGGACAGCCACCTCAGCCCTGCACCTGTGACCTCTCTGAACACCTCCATATTTTTTTTTCTTTTTTCTCTCTCTTTTTTTTTTTTTTTTGGGGACAGGGTCTCCCTTTAGTCCCAG